GGAGGGGCCACGGCCCCTGCAAAAAAAAATTCTTAAGTATATATTATGTATAAATACTTTTAATCTATAGAAAATATGTTGATATTTTAAACTTTGGCCCCTACAATGTAAAATTTTTAAATACTGACCCCTTCAACCATAGATTTCCAGCTCTGCCCCTGTCAGTCAAATCAGCTGATTTTCGTGCTTCCAAACGGGTTCTAATAGTTATTGCACACAAAGTTGGTATACAAATTATATACTATCTGTGTACACATACAAAGACAATTTCAATCTTTTTAAATGAATTACTTGTGTGGACCTAAAATTAGAAGGATTTATACAATTTCTCAAGTGATTTTGTGCACAAGTGTAATTTTCCCGTTTGGAAAGTCTGACCCTCATTCAAGCGCATCGTGCTTCGAGACAACCTTGGAAACATTTGAGGGAGCATAAGCTGCAATGCTGCATAGTTGCATAAGGTCTGTCCAAGTATAGTGTTTTTTTTTTTTGATCGTGTCCAAGTATAGTGTTTAATAGGGGCTGTATAACCTAGAACTATTTGTAGTGGCATGAGATTTTTTTGGAAAGTAAAAAAACCATTCTCTCATTAATTCAAACAATTAATCGCCAAAACGCTATAAATAGAGCTCGCGGCTAGATAACAAACAACTCTACCGTTCTCGTGAGAAAGGCTTGCCCTTGCTATTGAGTGAGCAATGCCATTCGAAGAACGTTTAAAAAAACTGACCAAATAATTAATTTTGGTTTGAAGCAACTATCTAATATCCTCCACAATAAGAAACTCTCATTCTTCGCCTATTCTGAAATAAACAAGAAGAGCGTCTATCCAAAATGTTAAAGTTGGAGGGTGTATATTTAGAGGATTAAAGTGGTAGGGGATTATGAGTCCAAAATGTTAAAGTTGAAGATTTTGTATTCTTAATTCAGTTTAGTGGTGGGTTCAACCAGAATTAAAAGTGAGGAAATGGATGGATGGAGGGGTATATTTAGAGGATGAGTTGACATGGGTAAGAAAAGGGATGCTGATGTCATAATACCCCAAAATTTTTAAACTAATACGAAGTATATTTTTTTATTTGTTCTCCGGTTTTTTTAAAAAATATTTCAAAATTTATATTTTTTCAAATCTTTCATATGACACCAATATTTGCATATAAAAAGCGTAAAACAAATATGATGCTTTGATTGTTGCAGTCTATTTGGCCCAAAAAACACGAAACACTAATTTTAAATTCGTGTAGCCTCCAAAATTAACCGAATATGACATGAACTCATTTTTATTTTTTATTAAAAATGAAAAAAGTAATAAAATATTTTAAGGAATTTTATTTTATTTTTTGAGATGAATATATAAAAATAGTTTTGGAGATTAGAGCAATAAATTACTTGAACGCAGTTTAGTTTTTATTTCGAGATACATATATACACTACACAAAATAGTCCATTTGTCACAAATTTTGTCACGGATAAAATCTGTGACGTCACAGCCCTGGCAAATATTTGTCAAGGAAAATTATCCATGACAATATTTTGTCACGGCGTTGTCATGGACTCTATCCCTATCAAATGTCCCTTGCAGGCCAGCCAATTTTTTTGTTGTCACAGAGTAATTCCTTGACAATGTCGATGACATAAGTTATTTTGTTTTGAATTTTTCACGGAATTTATCTGTGGCAAATTGTTGCCGCCTATTTTTACTTCCGTGACAAAATATAACAAATACTTGAACTGTGTTCATTTTTTGTTATTGAAAAGCGTTAAAAATAGTGATTTTTTTTTTACATTGAAATGTGTGTATTTTATTACGTAATTACTCCGGAAAAAATTAAAAGAAAAGCATTACGTATACTAATTTAATTAATGTTTTACCACATTGATATGTAAAAATATATGGTGAGAGTATTTATTAATTGTGCTACAATGCAGGAAAAAACAGTGTTGACAGAGTCTAAACACTATTTTCATATTCGACGGAATCCATATTTAACTTTTTAGACTCTCCATCACTACAAATGGTCTAGGCCATTTGTAGTGCTAGGGTATTAGAAGTCCGTAATGCTAAATGTGGAGGTTTTGAACTCCTAATTATGTGTAGTGGGAGATTAAAAAGGGGATTAAAAGAGTTAAAGGGGGTGGAGGAGTTAAATACATAGATGAGGGATTGGCAGGGGAGAAGAAAAAGAAAAAGGAAAAATGAAAGACGACTAGGAGCCTGAGACATAGGTGTGGGTACGAATGACGTTAGTGCGCCATAAAATCCAATTCTATAAAAATCTTATAACTCTTTTTATTTATTCTCTAATTTTTTTAAAAAAATATAAAATTTATAATCTTTTATGATGTTTAATTTGACACCAAATAAAACATACTACATATATAAAGTGTAAAAACATTGAAGGTTAAATTGTTGGAGTAAATTTCCTGTTCTAGAAAAATATGAAACACAAATTCTAAACGGAAAAGGTTAAAAATATGGCGAAGTTATTATTTTTTCATCCAAATGTGTATTTTTTATATTTCATAATTATTCATAAACAACAACAAAATAACATTACTTATAATTATTTAATTAATGTTTTAGTAAAGTGGTATGTAAAAAATATGTTGCCGCATATTTTTAAGGTCCTAAATGGAGAGAAAAGCGGTATTGATGGAGTCTAATCACTGTTTTTATATCGACGGAATCCATATTTAAATTTTTAGACGATGTAGGGATGTGGATTGTCTAATAACCATTATCGTTGTATTCTGGGCAAAATTTATAGAAATGTATTTCACCAAAAACAATATATAGAAATGTAATAATTTTAAGGATTATTAGCTTATTTCATCCCAACCTATCATCAAATTCACAAATCTATCATAATTTTTCACTTTTATAAAAAAGACTCAAACTTCATCTTTTTCAACAATTATGCTTTTCTTTGTTGTTTTTTCAAAATTAGACGTTTTTATCAATACCAATTAGATATAAGCAATACAAATTTGTAAACGTGAAACTAGAAACAAATGAAAAATATGAAATATGAATATCACTTTCTTCTTAATTTTTACCAATTCATCCATTGAAAGTGTAATTGTGAGAAAAGTTGAAGTTTAAGTTTTTTTTTTTAATAAAAGTGAAAGTATGAGATACATATGTGAATTTGATGATAGTTGGAGATATATTTAGCTAATAATCCTAATTTTAATAGTGACCCAAATATTACTTCTAGAGTTTCGATGCACAAAAATATGACTGAAACAAATTTCAAGTATGTACTTAAAATTGATCAAAAATAATAATATATGAGAATATCGGGTACAAGGTATAAATATGAACCCTTTGATTCTTCACTTGCAATTCAAAATAATATAATTAAAGAATTTTATTCAAAATTAAATCTCAAATCTTTCAAACATTCAAAAGTTCTTCATATCTTTAAATCTTCGTTCTTAAGATCTTCGAATCTTCGAATCTTCGTTCTTCAGATCGATCTTCAAATCTTCTTGAATGCAGGATTTTCAGCTTGAAGGCCCTCCAGTTTTCAAGTAGCTTGATTTTCAATAAAAGGACCGTTTTATGGTTTGATCTTCTGTTTAAGGGCTTTCTGGGATACATGGCTTGATCTTTAATCGAATTTTGATTCAATCTTCATATGAATATCTCCATATCTTCAAAGATTCGTTCTTCAGGTCTTCAAATCTTCATAAAGCATTATTCTTCAGATCTTCGAATCTTCGAGCTCCGTTTTTCAGATCTTCGAACGTTCTTCAGCTTTTAGACTTATTTGATCAAGAATGGACGAAATCACAAAGGATTATTCGTATGTTCTTAATAAAATTCCTAGCTTGATCTCCTCCTCCTCCTCCGAAGCGTTCAGAGCCTCTCAGAAGTTTTTAGAGCTTTTCTGCAGTGTTTTTCAACTGGAAGTTCTCTCAACTGAGACCTCTATTTATAGGTGGGAAGGAGGTGAAAATATGCTTTAGGATTTAGAAAATTCATCCATACCCCTTGGGCCCCGATGGAGATGAGCTCTATTTGCTTGCACTTAAATAACTAAAACATTAGTACTTATGAGATGTATTTGGACAACCTTTCTAACAAGGCTCATGGCTATTTTCAATGCATATGAGCACATTCCTTACCTAGATTCGTTCTCCTCTTCACAAGTTGGATCATGTCTCTTACTCATTGGGACACTATTCAATAATGGGTTCAAATAAAGAAATCAATAGAACTGGTTGGCGACTTTAGTATTGGTAGGGGTAGCAGTAGCAATCTCACTGAAGGGCAGCGGAGGCGACCTCGATGGAGGGCGGTGATGACATATGCTAAAAGAGGCAACAATAAGGCATAGAGTCTCAGATAACTACCGTAGAAGCATTTTATTGTTTTTAAGTTTTGTCACGTCAATGCATTTTACTCTTATGAAAAACGAGACTTCACTAAAGCACTTTTTCATAATTTTCCTCCTATATGACTCTATGAGGGGAATTTTCACTTCATAATTACTCCGTATTTTGAAGGAAAATTTTCACTTCATAATATTCAAATTAAACTACTAGTATTAGGGGTGTTTTTAATTGAAATGATTTCAATCTCAAACCATATTTGTATCCAATCTAAACATATCATATTTCAACAGCAGTAAAATACACACAAAACGAATATTTATCATACCAATACTCCGTACTAAATTATTTCAGATCAAATATAAACAACCAATCCAAAAAATTATAATCCAATCCAAAACATCCTAAATTAATCAGGTCTTCGGCTTTGAGGAAGAAAAATCAATTGGCCTTGAGCTATGTAGGAATTTAGGGTGATGATTTTCATAGTGGCCTCAATACCGGAAATAAGGGAAAAGAGTTCCGATTGTTGAAAAAAGGATACAAGAGAAGGAAATTCTCGTAGCTGAGAGACAGTAGAAACATTTGTACGGCGTTGAAAATTAGAAACCCGCAATTAAAAGACTCCGACGAACGAAAGAAACAACAAGCAATAATAATTCTGGAAAGAGAAAAAGAGGAAAAAAAATTTAAAAGGGAAAAAGAATTAAAAAAAAAAATACCCTCGCCTCAATCCTGGAAGAAGAAGAACAAGGAGAATTTTATCTCTTCTAGTCTTGTTGTGTGTGAAGTTGTGAACAACTCATACTCTCCCCTTCTCTCTCCATCTCCAATCTCAGTACCTTATCGCTTCCTCCATATATTATTCTCTGGCTTTCCTTCTTCTCTCCCTCAACAGCTGTATATCGTAGGCGCGAATGGATGCTTCGGGTTCGACTTTCTCAATCATAGAGCTCCGTAAAGGTAGCCGCTAAAAAGCATCCAGATCTCACAACATCACATTGACTTTGTGTATTGTTTTGGTTTGATTTTGTATGCTAATTCTTTGGCAAGTTTACTCTATGTTATGGTTGAGATTCATGGAGATCCGGGGTTGTTTTGTTTCACAGCTATACAGTTTTATTTTGGGCTGGTTTTCGTTTTTTGCCGATGGGTCGTTATTCAATTTGGCTTAAAGCAATGTTCTTTTTTCCTTTAATTGCCATTAGGTATTAATTAATTAATTGTTCATGTCTTGCGTACCGGATCTTGTGATGGTTTCTTTTAGATATGTGCTTATTTGGAATATAATTGCCATGAAAGTTTCTAATATTTAAATCTGCAGTTATCTTTTCGGGGTGAAATAGTGGAATATGCAATAGCAGTTATTTATTGCTTCCTTTAACTGATGAATTTGCTTGAGAATAGATTCTTCCATAATAGTCACTGATTTAAAGGCTCTATGATTATATTTCTTTAAATATGTTAATTGTGCAATACATTTAAGCCCAATTGCTCAAATATCAGTTTGCTGAATAAGTAGTACATGTTATCTCATTGAATGATGGTGAACTATTGATGGTGATTGTGTATGGAAATATTCTTCAAGTTTGTGATGCTTGCACTCTGGACTAAAGCTGTTGTCTCCAAATGTTGCTGCAGGTTTTGGCTGATACTCTCTGCAACATTGCTGCTTTTTATGTGATCAGGACTTACTTTGTACACACACATATATTTGAAAAAGGAAGAGAACCAGGATGAGCTTTTTGGGTAAAGGAATTCCTAGCAGTGACAAAAATCTAACTACTGTCAAAACAACAACTTTGAATCCAAATGCAGCAGAATTTATTCCTTCCTCACTCCCATCACCCTCTGGCAATAATGATTCATCAAAGTTTGCTGATGCAAGCACAATTACCACAGGAAAGTTCAAATTAGACAGATCAGAATCTTCTGCTTCAAACAACTCAGACGATGAGGTGCGCCAATATTGGCGTTGCCGCCTCCCTGATGACATTATAACTGATATCGATGTCTTGAGGGAAGACGATAATCATTCAATAGCCAGTCTCCCTTTTTCCAACTTGTCTTTAACAGACATCACTAATACTTCAAGGTTTCCTGCCTCAACAGGCAGTGTTCATGCATTGAAAGAAGAGCATGGCTTACTGCCAAACCAAATCAATGGTTCTAGCTTTGATAAAAAGACTGCCCACCCTGTTTCTTGCTTTTCAGGTGATGCATCTACAACAAGTTTTCATCATTTGTCTGGTCAACACTGGGACAAGCAACTTCTGAACAATCATGAATTCCTCTCTAATGTTAGAGAGGAGCCCCCTTATGATTTGAACTCAAGAAATGAATATATTACTGATATGTTCAATGAGCAACCTTTCATGGAAAATGTAGATATAAACCCTCTTGAATATCTAGCTTCAGAATTCTCTGGTTTTGCCGCTGAAAGTCTTGCTGAAGTTTACTATGCTAATGGAGGTGACCTGAACCTGACAATTGAGATGCTATCTCAACTAGAGGTAATTTTTTTGAAATAATTATTGTCCCCTGAAATGTAAACCAGAAAGGGTACCTGCATTGGCTTTATATGTTTTAGTGATGCTATCCTTCCCTCATGTGCCATATCAACAATGGCTCCATTACTTGGTCATGTTTACTATTCTCTCTTATTTAACAAACTGATAACTGATAAGGGAAGTTCTAAGCTCAGGCTACAACTTGATGATCTGCCTTACTTAAACTGAGATATGATTGTACAATCATTAGGCAAACTTTAATACTATCTATGCTTATCTGACTTTCTAACTGCAGCAACAAGTTGACATTGAGTTGAATCGAAATCAGAATTCAAAGGCTGTGCCTGCTCCAAACCTCAATGCAATGGATTTCCCTGCTCTTTCAGTGGCAGAGAATGAAAACAGACTGCTGGACTACTCCAGAGATGATCTTCAACAGGAATTTAGTCTCTATAGTCTATCTGGAAAAGGAAGTACCCTTACATTCAAGTCTGGTTCATCTGTCCCAGACAGAGGTTCTCTTGATTTTGCATCTGCTGTGAAAAAGGCGGCTTCTCAAAACTCTAGCATCTGGAGGTTTGATAAAAATGGATCAAATGATGCAAGAGTTGGATCAAGTAGAAGTTCTAATATGCTGACCAGCCCTTACAATGGTAGCCAAAGTAGGGCAGTCTATGCTGATAGGATGCAAAGCCGAGGATCAAATCGTGCAGCTCCTATCTGGCTTGAAACTGGAGAAACAGTTGGTAATATTCTTCTTGGAGTCCTAGTTATGGACATTATTTGTATTACAAATATCTTTTCTAACAATCTTTGTTTTGCAGGCAATATGTATTCTGAGATGCGGGAAGAAGCTCGTGACCATGCACGTTTGCGCAATGCATACTTTGAACAGGTATTTCTTTTTTCAATGCAGTGATGGTGAGTCTTGTTTAGGGTTCAAGAGCCGCCACTTGTTTAGGGTTCAAGAGCCGCCACTTGTTTAGGGTTCAAGAGCCGCCACTTGTTTAGGGTTCAAGAGCCACCAAGAACAATCTTATAGACTCCTAATGTACTGGCATTGTAGTTTGTAATAGTTACTGTAGGTTGTAGTAGTCTTATAAATTGCTTTTTTGTGATTTGTTCTTTATAAGTAGTGGATATTCACTGTTATGCGGCAACAACAGTAAGGGACAGAAGAACTAGACTTGAATGTATGGGTACTACCTTTTCTGAATAGGCTATAGGGGGTAGGAGCTAAAGTTGTGGTCGGAGGCTACTGGCTACTGGCAACAGCTGAAGTGGTGGTTACAGGTGATACCGTTGGTGGTAGCTGCTGGTGGTGACGGTCTTCGGTGATGTTGGCAACGATGGGTGTGGCTTGATGTAGCAGTAGTGAAGGATTATGGCGGTCGGTGGTGTAAGTTCACAGCCGTGGATGATGCCTGTGGCGTCCTATGGTGATGGAAGGTAGCATTTTGGTGGCCATTATTGCTGGCAACTGGTGATGGTGGCAGCCAGCGATGAAGGCAACCATCAGCTTTGGTAACCCTTGATTTAAAAAACTGACAGCGGTGATTGTCAGTGTCGGTGGAGGTGAAAATTGTCAGTGATGTACAGCTGCAGCAGTTATTGGCAGATGTTACATTCATCGGTGGTTGTGGTTGTTGGCGGCAGTTGCTGACGGAGGTTGCGATCATTGATTGACAAAGGTTGTGTGGGGTTGATGATACTTGTAAAATAAAATATTTTGTTTTGTAATTAGGGTTAAGGTGGTAGTTATAAAGAGGCTAAAGACACCGTGTATATAGTACATGATGGGTCATGCGTTCACTTAGCAGCACTTTAAGTGGTCCTTTTGCATTGTAAGTTTGTAAATGTGTTTTATCCATATAGTATGTTTACTTCAACTCCATTAGTAACCTAATTGTATGTTTTCTTTACCTAATTATATGTTCAGCAACAAAGTATACATGTTTGTAGTTTTACCTGAGTTGTTACTTTTGCTTGTTTTACACTTTTACATGACATTCATGTGTATGCAAGGTTGGTTTGTGTGATACAGAAATTTCTACTTTTAACTGCTTGGATGTTATGTGCAAGAGCAGGCTCGTCAGGCATACCTGATTGGTCAGAAGGCTTTAGCTAAAGAATTGAGTGAAAAAGGTCAACTGCACAATATGAAGATGAAGGATGCTCACGCCAAAGCTCAAGAGGCTATATTTCGTGTTAGGTTTGTATCCCTACATCATTCCTCTTGTGTTAGTGCCAAACACTTCATAAGATTGTTTGACAATTGCCTAATATCTCTTAACAAATTGGCCAATGGTTTAGTAATTAGTATCCTCTTTAAATATCATTCTCAAGTCAGTTTTGTTCAAAGCCCATTTGGTGGGGCTAAATTTGGTTGAGATAGGCAGGGTTGTGTAGAATGCGTGTTAGATAATAAAATAAAAGAGGTAATTGAGCACTACTGTTTTGTAGTGCTCAACTATGTATCTAAACCCTGTTTTGTAGTCATTTCATTTATATTTATTTTAGTAATAAAATAAAAAGTTAATTGAGCACTACTGTTTTAATTATTGCTATTAGATTTAGCTGAAACAGTAGAAAAATTAAAAGAGAAAGTTTTACCAAACGACTCAAATGTAACGGTTAGGCCACCTAGGTACAGGACTATACAATCCAATCAACAACATTACCCCAGTGTCGCAAAGGCTCTCCTACAGTCCTACGGTGGGGTAAGGTGGTCAGTTGTATGCAGCCTTACCCCTGTACTAAAAGCACAAAGAGACTGTTTTTGGATGATCCATGATAAAGATTGTATTGAAAATTGTGTGGTTTGACTGCTGCTTTCATTAGAAAGAAGCGCAGACAATTTGGTGAACTATTTTGCTTTATTCCATGATATTCTCATGCCTAAAAATTAGTGAGTCTTTGGCTTCATTGGAACTGATAGAAAAGATTATACAATCCAATCATGGGCCAAAATTCATATTTTTCATAATCCATTCATATACAATAATGATTTCGTTTTAGAACATATTGAACTGTATTCCTGGCTGGTGTTCTGTTTTGTTATGCTTCAGGAACCCGGAGATGTCAGCAAATGCCAGAGAGAAGATCATTGACCTGCATGGGCTTCATGTTTCTGAAGCTATTCATGTTCTCAAGCGTGAGCTGTCTGCTTTGAGAAATGCAGCGAGATCGGCAGAGCACCATCTGCAAGTATTCATTTGTGTTGGAACTGGGCATCACACCAAGGGTTCAAGGACTCCTGTCAGACTTCCGACTGCTGTCCAACGCCACCTCCTCGAGGAGGGCCTTGACTATTCCGAACCCCAACCAGGCCTTCTACGGGTTGTTATATAGCAGAATTCAAAGAATAAGGTTCTTAAACATAGCCCAGTCCACGAAATATATATACACTATTATTGTACCTGTAATCTGGAAAGATGTATCAGTAAAGTTTAGTCTGTTCAATAGGTGGATGTGTCATTGTTTTGTAGTTTTTTATGGACCTGCTTTGGTCTAGTAGATTTCTTTTTTCATTGTCTAAATTTCCCAATGTAACTGATAGTATTCATTTACTCTTACAGATAAGCATGAGTTATATATCCCATCAGTTATATTTACATTCCCTTGGGGCATTTTGAGATAAATTTCTCGTGTTACTGGTTTGGTTTCGTTGGAGTAGATTCAGTGGAAACTGGGAAGACAGTCAAAACGTCAATGAAATTTTGCTCTTCTGCAAAAAAGTACCCAATTTTGAGAGTGGAAAACGATGGGAGAAGCGAGGGGAAAGAAATTTTTGGCTCCTATTTTTTTTTTTACAAAACAGTTAGATGTTCCTCAACTTCAGTTGTCACAACTCCAAACAAGAATCTAACAATATTATAATTATGAATCGGGATTGTTACCCTTGATTTGTGTCAATACATTGCATAAGAGGTTGTACATTGCTATTAAAAAATTGAACCACATTTTCTCATCGTGCTTCTTTACCCTCTATACACCGTTAGTTTCATCCTCCGTTAACTCAACCTTTATCCTCCATTGCCTAAAATTCATGCCCATATGCTTTAGCCATGATCGCGAGGTCTACCGTTTCGACTTTGCTTCGATTAACATCTGCCACCTGCCATTGTTGAGCTGCTGAATTCCTCAAATCTCTCACCTTCCGCTATCCGGCGTTAAGTGAATCGATGCGCGTCGTCGGTATTGAAGGCTACCCTTCGTTGTCCGAGCAATATTTGCTTAGGGAGCGAGAATAGAAATTGAACATGGGAACCAATCCAGCGCAACGATATGGTTAAATTCTGCCCGAGGAAAGTAGTGTCGTCTCTGGTGACGTTTAATCGATCAGTGAAGAAGTTGAAAGTGGGAGCAACAACCCAGCTGCAAGCGAAGAAAGCAATCAAGATGCAGCAGACGATAGCACAGAGGTGGCCAAGATGCCAATGAGGAAGAGCCCCCAGAGATTAAGCTTGAGACTGGCTCCTGCAGATTTCCGGTTCCTAACTATGAACCAGAGCAGACACTGCTTTTTTCCTATATGTTAGGTTGAACAGGTCCACATGTTCACTTTCTTCCCTTTTCCATTAAAAAGTTAAACTTCATTGATTCATTTGATAACTTGATAACTTTCACGAGTCTTGAATCTCTTGTATTGTTGTTATCATTCGACAGGTCCAATGCAAATGACCATCTAAATCAGCTCAATTTCATTTTCTTCCACCACAAAAGAAAATGAAATCTGTAATGGCATCCTTGTTCGTGATGAACATACTTCTTCTGTTCAGTTTTACTTTAGAGTAGGGCTTTCACACAAATTAAGGGAAAAAATTCAGAATTAGTTAATAGTGTAGAAAATGTAAAAGACAAACAAACATAATACTGAAGATGAAATAGTAGAAAATACTACTTTTTGAGTAGATTAAATAGGGTTTAATGCACCAAACCCCCTTGTGATATGGAAATTCGGTGCATTAGCCCCATGTGATTTAAAAAATGCGTCAAACCCCCTTGTGTTTTAATTAATTATGCGCAAAATCCCTTCTATTAACAATTCCAATTGTCAAATAAAAGAAAAATGATTAACATTTATGTATGATTTAGAGATTTTGACATATTTACTTGCATATTCAATCAAAATATTAGGAAAAGTGATTTCCAAATCATTAAATTTATTCATAAAAGGAGTTTTGTGCGTGATTAATTAAAATATAAGGGAGTTTGATGCATTTTTCAAATCACAAGGGGCTAATGCGTTAATTTTCTATATCACGAGGGGTTTGGTGCATTAAACCCGATTAAATAACACTACCTATGTCAAAATTTTATATTGCTCTAGTAGATCTTTTCCAGGGTTTAAGAAAACATAGGGCTGTTTATGATCTTAAGAATATAATTATAGGTGTAGTGAATCGGGGGCGGAGCCAGGGCACTGGGCCAGACTGGGCCGGTACAAAGAATATTTTTGAAAAAAAAAATTGCACATAATTTTTTACACTAAAAATATAGTTTTTTTAAAAAATTGGACTAGGTCAAGGCCAGGGCTGTAGTGAATAATAGGAAGAATAATATAATTATAGGTGTGGTGAATAATAGGAACGAAAATGATATCAGAAAAGTAATAAAATGAAGATGAAGAGTTAGGGTGTTCTATGTATTTTGATATGGAGATATTTGCCAAATTAAGGGATGGATAAAAACTCTTAAAATGGTATAAGAGTCGCATAGAAATTATAAAGTGAGTAATAAACTTCCAAACTGAAGTGGATGAAGTGAAAAACCAGAGTATCTAACGAGAAGCAGAATAGCCAAAGTATTATGTGATGAAGCATTTTGCTCATGTCCTAGCAATAAAAAAATTGATACTATCTAAATAGTACAAAATAAAAATTACACCTTATTGTAACACAGACAATAGTATCTAAATAGTACAAAATAAAAAAATTGATACTGTCTAAATAGTACAAAATAAAAATTACACCTTATTGTAACTACAAAATGTTTAGTTCAACAGTTTTGTTTTGTTTCTAGTGGAATGCATTCCTATATAAGCAGGAATCATCATAGGTGGTTGGCAGAGAATTACATAAAATGATGATTTCCCCATGCACCTGTTCTCCCCTCCCTTGTTGCTCAGAAACAATAATAGGTTTATTTGTGGTTTCATCTCTCCTAAGTAAAACTGCATAAACACACATTATTTTCTTGATTTTCTTTAGGCTAATGCTCACTTGATCAAGGAGGATACATATTTTGGTGTCAAAGATACTGAAAAGTGGAAAGTGAGAACTCTACACATATCATGCATTATAAAAGGGTTTCCGGTCATCAAGTGTTTTTCTTGTTATACCTTTACGAGTAAATCACCCGTGCGATGCACGGCCGGAGAATTTGTATCCGATGTTTTTTTCTTACCAATTGTTTTCGACATCTTTGATGAAGAAGAGTTAGAGAGCGCAGAATTGCATATCAATAAAACGTTAAACATAGAAATGCAATAATAAAATGAACCAAAATAATTCCGCATAGAACTACAGATATTTATTAAAAACAGAATTAGATGTAACGCTACAGGTTATTAAAAACTTCTTTATAAACCACATTTTGAGTGGAATTCGTCGTCCCCCCACTGTCATCGCATATAAGTATTTTCAAACCACGCCTATTGGTAACTCTTGAAACCGCAACATAGAGCTGTCCATGCGTAAACACAGATTTCTTTAACAACAAACCCACACGGGATAACGATTGGCCTTGACTTTTATTTATAGTCATGGCATATGATATCATAATGGGGTACTGTCGCCTCTGAAATCTGAAAGGCAAGTTGGCATCCGAAGGAGTCAAGGACAATCTTGGGATCAAGACTTTCTGTCCAGCGCTAACACCAGTCAATATTTTACCCTCCAAAACATGATCACAAAGCCTGGTGAGAATCAGTCGAGTTCCGTTACATAAACCCATGGAATGATCAATATTTCTCAAAAGCATGACTGGGGTCCCAACCTTTAACGTCAAACTGTGATTCGGTACACCGGACAACTTAATGCTATTCAGGAATTCCGGGGTGTGCAGTTCTGCCATGAGAGTAGTCGTGGAATCTACCTTAGAGACACTATCAGAACTAAGATACGTCCTAGATACCTCGCCAACGTTGAGACCCATCATATAATCATTAACAGATTCAACCACGGCAAGTGTTGGGGCCAATATTGCACGGTCACGGAGACAACTAATGTCATGTGCTGATGCAACATACTCCGGAAAGATGCTTTCAACAATAGTAGCTACAGGATCATCATGTGTATGAATCAATAGGTCCTCAGGAATATCAATATAACCAAGGCCATCGTTTTCTTCACCCAATACGCCGTCTCCAATACTTGCAATCCACTCTGAAAAAACCTTCAAATCATAAGATTCAGCTTGACATGTCAAATTTTGGAGACGCATGTTTTTGGTCAAACGAAGAACAGTGCAATGAGACCACAAATACGACGAATTTATGGTGGCATTAACAACATCCTGTCTGCTACCATTAGGTATGACAGGGAGGATTTGGCGAAAGTCTCCCCCGAATACCACAGTCTTTCCACCGTACGGCATAGTGGCACTATTTTCTTGGTGAAATTGCATTATATCCCTCATGCTCCGATCCAACGCCTCAAAACAAAATTTGTGCAACATTGGAGCCTCGTCCCAAATAATTAGTTTGCATCGTACAATAAGTCTGGCAAGAGGACTTCCCTGCTTGATATTACATGTGGAGTCTTCATTCAAACTAATTGGGATTGCAAATCGAGAATGTGCAGTGCGTCCGCCAGGCAATAGAAGGGAAGCAATGCCACTGGATGCAACATTTAGGACGATCTCACCCCTAGACCTAAGTGCTGCAGAAAGTGTCTTCCACACAAAAGTTTTCCCAGATCCACCATATCCGTAAACAAAGAAAACACCACCAACCTCCTCTTGCACAGAATGCATAATGGTTTCATAGACACGAAGTTGCTCGTCTGTGAGTGAACGAAAATATGATGTGTGCTCTTCAGACATTATGGTACGGTCATAGCTCAACTCTTCGTATATCATTCTGTCATTGGAAGAAAGCAGAGAATCAAGCGAAACCGTTGGCATTGGAGGGTAATCTCGCAAACTCTTGCCCCGACATCGTAACAATTGCTCCATTTCAGCCAAAGCTAATTTCTCCAATTGGTCGTCATTTAGAATTAATTCTGAAAGAAAGACAACACAAACTTAGTAAAAAAAGATGAAAGGATGGAAAACAAAATAACGCATTATAATCCAGTGCAGTGCACTTTATTTAAGGGGGGGAAGCATTAATCCTATATATGATGTAACCTGGATGCTGCAACACTCGCCTTCGCTTGTGTTGAATGTCATCCGCCATGAACCTCCAACAATGTTGCCAAACAAATTCAGGTCTGGACATTGACTCCGTCCACAACAAAATAACAAATAATATTCTCATATAAAAGGCTGAAGAAAAAAAGCTAGCTTCCTTGAAAGCATCAATGAATTCCTTATCATCATCCAGTAAGCCCAACGCATAACACGCCTCACGAAATGTAACGTATGTCACACCAGCAACAGTTCTCAAATCTTCGTGAGACATTGCACCTCGAATGTGATTCAACAGGCA